CTGCCACTCCAGGGGCCATACACGGAGGACCACTGCTTGGGACTTTTCCTGTCTTTGTTGAAAAGAGCTGCAAAGTATGTCCCTGGACAGAGCAAGGAGGGGGGTACATTCTCAGAGGCATCGGTCAACACAGCCTCAAGTCTGGTGAATCTGGGCAGAAATCACCGTGACACCACTCCCAGGCACCTGGACCTCTCAGGGGGGGCCCGAGCACGCCCTGATGGAGACAGTGGAGGCTGAGCTCTCTGTGTGTTTGGTTCTCCAGTGTGGTTGGCAGTGAGCTTCCTGGGGGGAGTGGGAGGGATGTGCTTCGAGGGGAGGTCATGGTAGAGTGTGTGTGTATCCGTGCGTGTTGAGTGTGCCGTGTGTGTTCCTACCGTCAAACAACCCAACGATATTAGTGGGACCAGAGTGAAGATCTGAGGTTGACAGGCTGGGGTAGGTGAACTTTTATTTATAAAACATTAAAATAACCCCGGGCAGCAAAAGCTATCTCAAGTCTCCCCCTGGAGCACATACGGGCAGGGGGAGGGTCGGGCATTGCTCCCTTTGAGCTGGAAAAGGGCCTGTGCTTTTGCCATCTGCTGGTTATCGGGATGACTTCTTGCTGTTTGTGAGCAGGTGCGGGGGAGGGGGGCATCAGCAGGGTTAGTTCACCAACAGGGCTGCATACATACCACCCAGACGCAAGTCGATGAGGTCAGTGTAATAAGACTCTCCCCAATAGTCTACAACAAGGAATCGGTAAAGAGAGTTACTGCATCAGATAACCCTCCGGTCCCCCCGAGCCTCGAGCAATGAACGGCGTGAAGCGTAAGAAACACCCAGAGACGCAGCAGGAGGGGGACAGGCGGCAGCTGGAAAGCATGTGTCCCCCGCAGGTGCCCCCCCGCCCCCCCACATGCACACTGTAGCCACAGACCTCTGGGTGCAAGGGGCGGTCACAGAAAACCACAGGTGACTGCACTGACAGAAAGCGATCAGCCAGGACAGAAGCCTTGGCTTGGTTGGGAATCCTGCTGGGACTCAACGTCATCTAACTAAGATTTTTAAAAACTCAAGGGCAGATCAAAGGCTACGAACCACCCTAATTTCTGAATATTAGAAGCCCCAGGCTGAGGGGCTGAAGGCGAAACGTGAACACCCTAAAAAAGCTGTGTCAGGAACCAGCCCTCAGCTTGCCCTGTCCACACCGACCCCACCAGAAGCGGAAGCACTTCTGCTGGACGGTCTGAGATGAAGGAGGCCCTGTTTCTTCTGCGTTCAGGCCCCCAAGGTCTCCAGCCCCGCTAAGAGCAGGCAACGGGCGGCAACGTATTCTTGTTCATCATACTCCAGGACCCTGACACAGGTGCTGTGACCGAGGGCGGCCCCCCAGGACCGTAACGCACGCAGAGTGGAGTCAGCTGCGGTTCGCTACCCTTTCCTCCACAACTCACAATCTGACAGCTGATCCTGGCAGCCTCTGGTTCCACACGAGGGCTCCTCCTTCCAAAACACACACACCGGAAAGCAGACTGAGGCTGATCCAGTGGGTTCCAGAGACAAAGAGGGCTTCCCAGCTGCCCCAGACCAGAAACCTCACGAGTCTCGGTCTTATCCAAGGCTCTGAAGCGAAACTCGCGGTGCGGATATACGTGAGACTCAGAACTACGCGAGCCTTCTCTGGAAGGCAGCTAGGCCACCAGTCTGACCCCTCAGAAAGCCCATGGGGTGAGACCGAATGGCCAGTTCAGGGAAGGAGCTGACCAGCACTACTCAGCCCGAGTGGCCTTCTCAAAGGCTCGGCCGCGAGCAAGCAGACTAGCAGGAGGCATGGGACACGGAAGCCCAAGAGAAGGCACAGCTGAGCCTCAAAGACGACCTCTGTCAGGTGGGAACAGAGCCCCAGGGGCTTCTGACAAGAGGGAGCCTAGGAAGTGATGTGCTTAAACGAGAAAAAGCGAAGTACGGGGTTCCTGTGTCGAGTGTTTCCCAAATGCATTGTGGGAATCTCCCAACGGAGGTACCACAGCCCGTCTTTGAAACAGGAGACGTGTATTTGGACAGAAGTTCTGGGAAGCTTAGCAGACTCTGGACCAGAACTGTGGTTTCAACCTGCTCTCTGGAAGCTTCCGGCTCTTCAAGTGCTGTTCCGGGGTCTCCCAAATACCCGATTCACAACTACTTTTAACTCATCAAAAAACTTAAACACGGCTTCCCTGGTGGTGCAGTGGTTAAGAACCCTCCTGCCAATGCAGGGGACACAGGTTCCATCCCTGGCCCGGGAAGATCCCACATGCCGCGGAGCAACTAAGCCCGTGCGCCACAACTACTGAGCCTGCGATCTAGAGCCCATGAGCCACAACTACTGAAGGCTACGCGCCTAGAGCCCGGGTTTCCGCAAGAGAGGCCACAGCAATGAGGAGCCCGCGCACCGCAACAAAGAGTAGCCCCCACTCGCCGCAACTACAGAAAGCCTGCACCCAGCAACGAAGACCCAACACAGCCAAAAGTAAAAAACAAATTAAAAAAAAAAAAAAAAACTTAAACAGGACACACCATGTTCGAATCTTTGATCCGCCAATGTGCAACCCACTGAAGCCCATCAACATGTTCATCTGTGCTGCAGGTAAACTCGCTTCTGTGAGGCCCCAGGACCAGGCTTCTGCCCTCTGTGTGCGAGTGTCTGCCCTGCCTGTGACGCGTGGGAAAATGACACTTCATTCATCAACTTCAATCCTGGCCTGCTAGCAGAGTCTCACTCTCGGAGCGTCCTGCCAGGGTGGTCCTCCAGGTGCAGGGTGGTCCTCCAGGTGCCAAGGTGGTCCTCCAGGTGCAGGGGGGTCCTCCAGGTGCCAGGGTGGTCCTCCAGGTGCCAAGGTGGTCCTCCAGGTGCAGGGGGGTCCTCCAGGTACCAGGGTGGTCCTCCAGGTGCCACAACACATAGCACACCTGGTTCTGGGTTCACTGTATGTTTGGGAGCATTTATCTGATCTCTTCTTCATAAGGAATCTGAACCGCAGTTGGATCTGTAGTGATTCCACTGAGAGAGCAACTCCGACTTTAAGCTGCAGACACCCAGACCGTTCTCACTGTGCATGTCCTGAGATTCCCATGGCTGTGTACGACCTGCCCCCACCTCTGCGCATCAGGTGCCCACCCTACATCCAGGGCTGGACTGGACATGGAGGATATTAACCCTGCAGCTCTCTGCAACCTGCATTTTCAAATTAGTGTTTATTAACATTTAAGAGTAATTTTTTTTTTTTTGCGTTAAACTTGAACTCATAATTTGTCTTGTAAAAAAGCGTTCTGCTGCTGATTAAAAAAAAAGTTTGAAAACCACTGACTTAGACGAAATTCTGGTTGTATGTGTTTACAAAAAGGTAATTATGTAAACAACTAGTAAGCGGAATTTCAGCAAAATCCCAGGTCAATCTTCGGTGGTCCCTTTTCTCTGGCCCCTTGGCAGGCAGCAGACTGAGGAATGCAGCCTGCTGTGGAAATGCCGAGGGGCCGCCATGGACAAACCGCAGGGCAGCAGACAGACATCTGAATGCCAGGCGGAACCATCAGCACCGGGTGTGCATCTGGACCTCAGAGCCCTGTGGGGCACAGGGGCACTTACGCGAACTGTGGCCCCTCTCCACCTCGGCAGGAGGAATCTGAGGGTCCAGGGTCCTCCTGGCATCTTCTGCAAGAAGAGAGAGCAGAGATGGCAGGGCCCACGGGTCCCCGTTCCCACTGCTTGCAGGGCTGCTCCATCCAGGTGGTCACGTTTGACAGAGGAGGCCGGGTCAGGGCACGCAGGGCGGGGGCCCTGCCGGGTGAACCTGAGTCCCCGCTCCCGGGCACAGGGGCTGGCTCGCCTCCCGAGTCAAGTTCTCACATTTCATCTGGTGGCACAGTGAGTCCAGCATCAGGCACAAGACATCACAGCCTCATCTTCCTGCCTCGTGTCCTGTCTTCACCTGAAGGTCACCCTGAGTCCACTGCTAGCTGCATTCCGTGGCCGTGAAGGGTCAGGACGGGAGACCTCCTCTGTGCCTGAACCCCAGTCCTCCAGAACCCCACGAACGCATCCCGACACCAACCGCTCACTCGGAGGCCAACCACTGGTCAGTCTTCCAGCAAGATCAGAGGCAGCGACAGGCCGCATTCGTGGCTGCCTCTTCCTGATTCACCTTCAGTTTACCCTCAGCCCAAAGCCCAGAGGACCCACCCCCGCTCCCAAGGAAAACCACGTCACCACCTGTCCTCATCCCTGGTCCCACGACTCTAGTGCTGACCCTGGAGGCCCGTGCTCTCTACAAAGGGATGGAGGCTCCAGATTCGGGGACCTGGGAAGGCAGGGAGGAATCACTTGTGCCTGGGTTGGGGCTACAGCTGGGGCTGGTCCAGTGGTTTCACGGTCCTGAACCAAGAGGGCCTCCTGGGCCCTCGGCACCTCTCTGCTCTCCGAGCCCCACCGTGCTGGGCCCGCCCGCGGGCTCTGGGGACAGTGGTGTGACTGCACTGCCCCCATGGCTCTGCCCCAGGAAGGGCAGTCACCAGCACATGGCCCTCACAGCCACTTCCCAGGGTCTTGCTCTGCTTGGGCTCTGCCCTGAGTGCCCAGCCTCCAGGACAGAGCCTGGTCCACCCGTTGGGGCGGGGGGCGGGGGTGGCCTGCACGAGCAGTTCTGTGATGGTTCCTTGCGCACAGCCTGCCCCGTTCCAGTCACTGGCTTCTCGAGGAGAAGATGGGGAGGAGGGAGGAGAGAGGCGGCCCAGGGCGTCAGCAGCAGGTGGTGGGCCGAGGGGGCGGCCAGCCCTGGGACTGGGCAGGGCAGCCCCAGATGCACGGGCCTTTCTCCCCCTTTGCTTAACAGAAGCCCCAGCTCTCAGTGACGAGGGGACCAGAGAGAGAATCCTGCAGGAGACTAGCTGACTGCCGGGGGCGGGACCGGTACTAGCCCCCCGCGGGGCTGGGTGGGCTTTCCCCGGGGAGCCCCGTCCGCCGGGAGCGCAGCCGGTACCTGCCTCCCCGCGCAGCGCCTTCTCCACGGCGACGCCCCGCTCCTCCAGCTGCCGCTGCCTCTCCTCCACCTGCTCCAGCTGCCGCTGGATGATCTGCGGGCGACACGACAGCGTGAGGCGGGGGGGGCGAGGCGCGCGGGTGCCCCGAGTGCGGCACGAGCGCACGAGGGTGGCAACACCCCAGCGGGGCTCTTGAGAGTCTCAAACAGATCCTGCTTCGACAAGATTAAAACTGCCCAGCACAGACTTGTGCTTGCTGGGGTCAGGGGTTGGGGTGAGGGACCGGGAGCTTGGGGTTAGTGGCTGTAAACTATTAGACGTGGGATGGATGAACACCAAGGTGCTGATGTACAGCACAGAGAATCACAGCCAATCTGCTGGGATAAACCGTCAAGGAAAAGACTATGAAAGGAGTGTATACACGTAGATATAACTGAATCACTTCACTGTACGGCAGAGATTAGCACAACATCGTAAACCAACTCTACCTCGATGAGAAAACATGGCTCCACTCTGCACGGAGTGAGGCTTCTCGGGGATGACTGACACCCGGGAGGACCTCCCACCCCGAAGCAGCGGCAGGGACATAGCTTCACGCAGAAAATGAAATAAAATCCAGGGATCTGGTCACGTAGGGAACGCAGATCCAGAGTAACGTCCAGGGAAAGGACGAGAAGGCTGGTTTTGGACAACCAGAGGAATATCTTTGCTGGGAATGGATTTGCTGTTAATGTTTCTTGCTGTTGTAGAGCTTTTGATTATTGTCCTAATCTTTATGAACACAACTATATACATACGATTTCATTAAAAAACCACCTCGTATTTAGGTATCATTTAATACTTTGCGTTAAAAAATTCTCTTTTGTTAAAAAAAAAAAAAAATCTGGGGGCTTTCCTGGTGGCGCAGTGGTTGAGAGTCCGCCTGCTGATGCGGGGGACACGGGTTCGTGCCCCGGTCGGGGAAGATCCCACATGCCGCGGAGCGGCTGGGCCCGTGAGCCATGGCCGCTGAGCCTGCGCGCCCGGAGCCTGTGCTCCACAACGAGAGAGGCCACAACAGTGAGAGGCCCGCGTAC